CAGGAATGCTTAGCCAGATGCCAGCAGATGAACCCACAGAGCCAGTGGCATGACAGCTTTCCACACAAAGGTCCCAGCTCTAGCCCAGAAGGGCCCCTAGCCACACAGTTGTTATTCAGCCTCCTCTGACTTTCCTTCTTAGGCTTCTCCTCTCAGACACTGTCAGACCTGGGACATGGGGCTAGAAGAGCTCCTGATCTGACCTGGGATGACTGGGCTCGTGCCTTTGTGCATGGCACAGCTATGCCCACCTCTGTACTTTTTTTTTTTTTTGTCCATGTTGTCTTTGTTTCAGGCTTGTAGACATTTCACTGCACCAGCAGGTTCAGGCACTGCACGACACAGGTGATTTGTCCAGCATCCTTTCTGCCCTAGCACTTTGCTGGCTGCCACTGTCAGCTGAGGGGGCAAAGCCCACAGTGCTTTGCAGGGCTGTCCACCAGGCTTCCAGGGAGAAGCTCTGTGGATATGTGAGCATACTGTCTGTGGCTTGAATCACTAACTACCTGCCTGTCTGCATAGAAGCATAGGACACGCAGAGCTACCTGCTCTGCCTTGGATGCAGCTACACAGCTGCACTCACCCTCTGACCCCACCCCTACCTAACCTTTTACAAGACCAAAAGAAGGAACAGCAACCCAATGCAAGACAAACACAGAACTCACTGGAGAGCTCAGAAAGCGGCAGTGAGCAGTGAATACCTTCCCATTAATGAGCAGCCAGCCCATTCTGATCATTTGCCTACAAATTCCCTAACTGGGTTCATGAATGACGTCTAACACAAACATAGAGGTCACCCCTGATAAAAAGGTTACGGTGATGTTACTGCTTTGTGCAAGCTGACAGCCCAAGAGGCATGGCAGGCCCTTGGAGAGTAATCTCACTCTGCCATAACCTGCTGACAATGAGTGATCAAAGGCTCTCCTAACTGCTCCTCTCTCAGGTTTGTTTCTACAACTATGGCTACATACAGGCACAGACTGTTATTTCTCAATGATGAATTCCTGAAAAGCACAATGGTTAGTCATACAATGGATAGCAAAACACAAAAGAGGTTTGCATTGGACATTCAGTCTCACAGGGGAAGCAGGCAAGACCTTTTGGAGAAACAACCCGCTCCAACACCAGCCTTTGAAAAGCCAGCATCTCTCAAAGGTCCTGCTTCCATCCTCCATCCTCCACACTGTGTATGCTGTCTCCACGTATTTGTCACTTAATGCTCTGTGTAGTTCTTACAGGCAAAACATTTTTGCTGTCTTCAGCTGTGTAGCTCAGACAACTCCACAGCACAGTAACACATGAACAAAACAGTACACCAAAATGATAGCTAGAAAAGCAGTGGGCAATGGAGTGTGCACATAGCAGAATCAAAGAATTTCTTTGCTAACACTCAACCATTCAGATCAAATCTGTATACAAACCTACACAGGTAAAAGACTTGCAATAGCCTCCATGAATACCATAAAAAGAATGTCACAGATGGGCCCAAACGAGGGTTGAACATTGGCTTTTACGAGCAGTAGCTATGGGGAGAGCAGGAAGCCCTTCATGGGAGAATGCTCCAAACCATGAAGACAATAAAAGTTAGTATCTAAATGAATGTTGGGGTAGAGGTTGTTGTTTGAGCTCTTACTGAGCTGAACACAGCTTCCAAAATAACAACCACGAGAAAGAAAGACATCTACCAATGACTGTTGCATTTCCCTGCTTTTTCCCAGAGGCTTTTCCTGCTGTGCCTCTCCCCAGCCACTGGGGTGGTTGTGCTACCTGCACAGATGGCAACCACCGTTTGCTGCAGCCTGCAAAGCCTTTCCTCCACTTTCCAAGTAGGACTCCCTCCTCCCTCCCTGATACATTTTAGTTAATGTGTTTGTAGTCTGCAAAAGGCAGAAGTGAGTTGCTGTGGAACTTGTGTAGCTAATTTTAGCTCTGGCGTCGCTAGCCACCTACCTTGTCATCCCTGGGCTAGCACCAGGATTTATTCTCACTTGAAGCTCAGACCGTGCTGGCTAAGGGCTCCATGAGGCAAGTTAGGAAGACCTCTTTCCCATATGGCTGTGCTGCCTTGGCACAGAGGAATGTTTTCTCTTATTCATTCCATAAGGCAAATCCTCTTCCAAGAAGCAACCAAAATATTTCAAAAATATCATCCTCTGCAAGTAACAAGCCTGCTTTTGACCCAACTCAGGTTTCCAAAACACATTATAACATAATCTCCCTTGCCCCTACAAATATTTAGCTAAGCTAATACAAAAGCTTATTTGGTACAGAGAAGGGCAGCAAAGCTGGTGAAGGGCCTTGAGGATAAACCTTACGAAATGTGGCTGAAGGAACTGGTGTTTTTTAGCCTGAAGAAGAGGAAGCTGAGGAGAGACCTTATTGCTCTCCACAACTACATGAAAGGAGGCTGTAGGGAGGCAGGTGTGGGCCTCTTCTTACATGGCACAACTGACAGGACAAGAGGAAATGGTGTTAAGTTACACCAGGGGAGGTTTAGGCTAGATATTAGGAAAAAATTCTACACTGAAAGGGCTATCAAGGATTGGAATAGGGTTCCCCGAGAAGTTGAATCACCATCCCTGGATGTATTTAAAAGCTGTCTAGTTGGGGTGCTCAGGGATGTGGTGTGGAAGTGGCCTGGCAGAGATAATGGTTGGACTCAGTGATCTTTAAGGTCCTTTCCAATCATAGCGATTCTGTGACTCTGTGAAAACGGACGTTCAAGGTCTCCAGAGGGAGTCCACTTCATAACCTGAGGCCACATCACATACACCTAACCCATTCCTGAGAGAGATCTGTCTCACCTGCTCTTAAAACAACCCTGGGTTAAAATCTCTGCAATCTTCTCATACAATCCACCCACTGCCTCACTACCCACTCTGTCAGGGAGCTTATTATAAAGTCTAGCTCTCCCCACCTACAGCTGAGTCCCAAGACGACACACAGCATCTCACTATCAGCATGGAGAACACTGATAAAAACACAGCATTACTGTTACACTCTGTTTTGTACTAATGGCATCTTGTTATTTACAATCAAGCACAAAGAAATTCCATTAAAAGCAGACATAATTTAGTTTGCTTTGCAAGTAGGGAATGCTAATTTGCTTTTGCTTTCTTCCTTCTCAAGGTGAAAGGTGAACAGGGTTAACTTAGAGAATTAAGTTCTACCCAAAATCAAGACACCCAAAAGGCAAAATGACACTCTGTACCTTGCAAGCATTTCTGTATTTCACAGGCTTGTTTCTGGCAGGGATCCTTCTGGGACATGTTCAGAGAACTAAAATGATAGGAAAACATTACTGCAGAAACGACATGCTATTTCAGGTGGCAGGGGGGCAAACACTACCTTAAAGCCAATGATTTAAAGAGCTCCAAATTTCCCTCCGTCACATATAGTTCAGAAAACACTTATTGCTGCTTGCAGGAGCCTGCCAACATACACAAGAATTCTCCATGTCTGGCTAGAGGATGACTACGTAGACAATGAACACGGGAAGTTTTGTTTGCTGGGCTTGAAGGGCTTTTTCTTTTCTGTGGTCAAAATGTGTCCTTTTCCACTTAGACACACAAAGATTCCAGCAATGATTCAAATTAACACGGCCGACTAATTTTTGACAGTTCTGTGCTTGTAGACTTTATACTAAAACATGTATTTGTGTAAAAGCCCTCTCCGAGGGCTCTACACTACCAAGGATTTGGTGTTAGTCATAGAACTGCAGGTGGAGGAGGCATTAAAAAAAAAAAAAAAATCAACCCAAAACTTAGTTGTGTTCATAAAGGACAAGAAGGGCTTTTTTTTTTTGTTCCAGGTCTCTTGGAAAGCCCCTTCCCTCAAAAAGACCAGACTGGATGACAGCTCCATCTTGTTCAAATCCCTAGAAAATGGGATTTCAGACACTCAGTTTCACTTTCTGCAGCTGTGACACCTGTAACTGTGATCTTGCATAAGACATCAAACGATGAGCAAAAAATGGTGGTACTAGTAGCTGGATGGGAGACCTCTAGAAGAAAGCACTGCTGTTCCTGAAAGTGGTGCTGAGACTTCAGTTCCCTCTCAGACACAGTTCACATCCTGCTCCTGTCCCTGTCCCTGCCCTGAGCCAGGGAGGTGCTGCTTCCAAATTTCTAATTCACCAGCCCACAGCACTCTGCAATATTGCTAGGGCATTATTTCCAGTATCCTGGCCAAACTCCACTTGGGGCAATTACATTCTGCCTACCTATAAATTTGCCAGATATTTCACTTGGACACAGTATTCCACTCCCTGTCCTAAACTCTTGTGTGATATTGCTGTGTGTTGTCTAACTGCTTCCACCTCGGAGGTGGCTTCATTTCAGCGGAGAGAGAATAATTTATTGTACAATATACAGTGACATCTTCCTAGAGCCACTGCTCCTGAAAGACAAAAATTCATATAAAAGAATGACTGGCAATAAACAGAGCACAGTACAAAGCAGGGGTAATGTCTACACATACCAGATTAATCACCAGGCACGAGTTTAAGCAGCAGTTCTTCAACACCGCCAAGCTGTAAGCAACAAGGAAAAGTTCAATACGTCTACAGTTACCATGGCTGAGCTAACGGACTTCAACAACATCAGAGTCCTTTGCTGTCCCTCAAGGATCTCAAATGACTTCACAAACAGGCATGACTATGGTCTATTGTTGCCACCATCCTTACCATGAGATGGTGCTCTATCTCCCAAACGCGAGAGTTACTATCCCTGTACTGCTCACCCTGGGACAGCTGCCACATGTGAGGCAGCCGGGATGGGGGGAGCTGGCTGGGTCGCAGCGCCTCACCCAGGGGAACCTGAACTCTTTGGATCCGAGCCCTCAGCATACCTTCCTCCTGGGGGAAAGTAACAAAAAGAGCAGGCAGTTACTGGCAATGCAGTAGAGGCAGCCGCAACAGCAAAGCTACAGTCACTGGGAAGCTCAAAGGACACTTGCCTCTTCCGCAGCCACGAGCCACGTTTTGCGGCGCTCATCGCAGTAGACCCCCACGCGCCGCACCCACAGCCGGACGGGAGGAGCGCCGGCGTGCCCCCCTGCTGCCATCCCCTCCGGCACGTCAGGCGCTGCTGCTAGGCGCACGGCATCAGCCCGCAGGGTGCGTGCAACTCCTCAACTCTGAGTGCATTCACAGAGAAGGCTTTCTGACCTGAAAGGCACCTTTGGGTAGTGTCTGACTTATCGTATGAGGTGCTGAAACGTCCCTACAAGTCAGCTTGCGAAACTAAGGTGGTGCCTAAATGAACAGAAATTTCATGCCAACTTGTACACTGGGACACGCGTGCTGTGTGGCATTTGTAAGGCATTCTTGGGCAAAAACTGCTATTGGTACAAAGTTAAACTCTGTGAATATTGCCTTTGCTGATTCCGCTAACAGTCCTATTAACAGTCTTTGTGTAAAATAGGGCAGGGGGGTGAAATAAAAAAAGAAAACAGTGGTTTATGTAGGAGCTCTGTGGCTAACGACGGTCTAAATCCCAAAAGCAAAACTTGTGACAAGAAGTGAAAGTAGCTGAACAGAACGAAGATCACCGTGGAGACAAGGCATGGAACGCCGCACGGACGACTCTCCTGTCTGGAGCTTGCAGGGCTGTCGTTACGAAGGATCCCTCGGCTCGTCTCTCCGGAGGGCAGCGGCACTGTCCATTCCTGCACAAGCTTCTCCAAACAGCTCTCGGGATTTCGCGCAGTTCGGCTTTTAGATGGTTACAGAGAGACCCTGATAGCAGCAGGGGCAAAGGAATTTTGGACATTGAGGTGCTTCTTCCTACTGGAATTTTTGTTTAACAGCAAGTTTATCTGCGTGTCAGTTACATCAAGCTGAGTCATTAGCAAATGAAGGTCAGGGGAAATGATTCTCTCTGTGAACCCTAGAAGAAGTAATCAAAATGGTACAGACAGTCTTCATTCTTTATCTAGGTTTAAAGTAGAACAGAATTAAGTTGTAATACATATAACATCCTCCTGCTACGAAGCAGATGCAATATTCCTATTCCAGTGAAACACAGTGGTCTTCCAAAAAATTGTAAAGTTAAAAGGCATATTTCAGATAGGTACAAGAAAATCTGGTTACAAAATAGAGAAAGTCAGGGAGAGAAAAAAAAATGTTACACACTGGGATACATCAATAAAAGGAAATATACTTCCATGTTGTTCTGTATCTTACATCACTGCTTTTCTACCTTTTTGAATCAAAGGATCATTCAGCTTTTTTGAAAACAAAATACCAACCATGATCAGCCTGAACAGCACTGTCACAGTATTTTAAATTCTAACAAAGAAAACTCTGGATTACTGGTTTTCCCATTTTGTTTGTTTCCTTGCTCGACATGTGGGAACGTGTATGTGTGTTCTAAAAGGCACCACTGTTCTGAAGAGCATTCCGTGGTGTACAGCCACGCCAGGCAATGCCCCAGCACCTGGGCCACTGGCGTTCAGAGGAATGTGAAAGCAGACTGACAAACCTCACAAGGCCTTTAGGAATAAGCTATGAGATTTAAAGGGACATTTCTGAAAGTCCTTTGCATTCTGCTTTACCCTAAGTCATTTTACAAATTTAAGCCCATGTATGGAAAACACTTTGCCCAACAGTGAAATGCAGCAATCGCCACTGCTCATTTTCAGTTAGCTGAATGTAATCACCAAGGTAGGAATTTGGCCAGGATACTCTCCTACTCTGCAGGTCCACCACGACCAAAAATGCTCAATGACTTGCTTTTATTCCATTCAAAGCTGGAATTGCTACAGCTCGTCATCCTCAGAACCAGAACACTCAAGACTGACTTCAGCATTGGAAAAATACTACTTAGTAAGTGAACAATATTCCCTACAGCAAGTAGATTCTCCTGGCAGGTCTCCTATCCCAATACTAACCTGGTCCAGTCTTGCTGAACCAGAGGCAGGAGGCCTAAAGCACAAAAATATACGTTCACATTTATTTTTCATACCATAGTAGTAATGACAGATACAGGACCAACAGAAGGGGGTCTCATGCAGAGGCCACTGTGCAGAACAGGTAGTGGTTAATGTGTTTCTACCCTTTGCCTCACTAATTTGTATCAAACTCCCTCCAAACCTTGTTTGTCTGAGTTCAGTCACCAAAGTTCAAAGGCCCAGTCTGGCCTCTCTTTTCAACGGTCCCCAAGACTCTTATGAAGGTGCCCACTTAGTGGCACAAATAGAATCTTGAGGTCAGGCAAAACCATCAATTTGGTTTGAAATAAGACAGGTCTGTCTTTAGTACTCAAACATACAAAAGAAAGATTTGAAAAAGTATTCACTTAAGACTCTTCCACCTCAAACTTTAAGAAAGAAAAGACACATACATTCCTATTTTTGCAGATTTTATCACAAAGCAATAAAAAAGCCTGAAGGAAGACGTTGGTGAAAGGAGAAGTAATCTTACTTATATTTCAAACAAGCTGTAAAAGCTGTTTCTTATATTGCTTGCTTCATAATCTCTTAAAAACCCCACCACATCCAAGGAAAAAAAAAATCAGCTTAAATTTGCAAGACTGCAGTGTCAGCCTTTGACACGAGATTTTAATGTTCCCATGAACGTAACTGCAGAAGTTGAGCTGTTGAAGGTACCAGTTTGGGAAGACTGAAAGCCCAGCCCCCACAGACATGAACAAGACTTGCAGTTATTCTGTCCATCTCAGGCCTTAGAAGTTTAATGCTGTTCTGGGACCTAGCTGGATGTCTCAGCCATACAATATATGAATAAATGTGAAAATGGCCAGGAGGAGGACTGCATCTTGTAGTGAAGACAATTTATTTGCTTTTAAATTAGGTACATGAAAACATTTTATGAAAACAGTGAAATAAATTGCTCCAGCTGCCACTCGGTCCATCCCCAGAGCTGGAGCTCAGGATGCTGAACATACCCCACCCTTTACTACCTTCCATTTCAAAAGGGGACAGGGTCAGACCATTTTAGAAGAGTTCAGCTGTCTTTTAGGCACCAAGGAAGAAAAATGATGCTGAGGCTCAGGGAATAGCACCCAGTGTTGTGCCAACAAGGGTACACACAGCTTCTGTACCAAGGCTGGCCAGCCTTGCCTTCTGGTGGAGAGTGTGCAGGTGCCTGCACACCGCCTTCAGGGAGCTAAAAGGGAGCTGAGCTTTCCCCAAACCCCCAGCCTGTGTCTTACAAAAAGTCAGGGATCAGATGAGCTGTTTGCTGAGCATGTTGACTCACTCTAAAGCTTCTTCTTGGGGGTTTAGGCTCTACTCTGCCTGGAACACTTGCCACGAGCAAGCACCCCTGTGACTCCACTCTCCACTCTGCCCGACCTACTGAGGGGTAGCAGATGCTCACCGACCAGTCTGGGCTGTCCAGCAGTTTGGGGAGAGAAGGTCTAGCTTTGGTAGGATCTAAAGAAACACGAAGACAAAAAGAGATGGACACAGTGTGGAGGAATCCCCGGAGAAGGAAGGGGAGGATGAGGAAAGGGCT